CCCCAAAACCCCAAAACCCCAAAACCCCAAAACCCCTTCTTACAAGCCTATTATTGGATAATTAGTCATCTTCAGAGGCATTATCATCTTCGTTTTCATCCTGTTCTTGGTCTTGGTCTTCGCCTTCCTCACTCTCTACAGGTTCATCTTCAACAATATTGAGGTAGTATTCCAGAGCATTTGGAATAAGCTCAGATTTGATCTCAACAGCAATATCAAAATCCTCCTCAAGACGGTCAAGCTTCATCTCGTCGTCAGAATCAAGGTCATCTTGGTCTGGGTTGCCGACTCATGGTTCCTTGGAGTCAAAGAACTTGAAGAAAGACTCGACTCCATCTTCGTCATACTTATTCTTTTTGCCTTTCTTCTTTGATTTTGGCTTCTCAGTCAGGCTCATTCCTTCTCTCCACTTGATCTTAGTAGAATCTACTTGTTTCACCTTATCATCATCTTCCATGATGTATCTCTTAGTCAAAACTGTGTTCGTCATGAAATCATTGGCGTTGAAGTGGAATTTAAGAATAAAATCAGGGCTACCCTCTTGTGGGATCAGCTCAATATCATATAATTCTTTCAACAAGGGTTCATCCTTTTTGAGAATCAAAGAACTGGCAATAGTACTGTGCTTCATAGCGTTGAGCCAAAAACCGGGAACACCTGCACTGTCTGCTAACTGGTCTACCTTTTTAAATTCCTTGACTTGAATGCTATCGAAATCATCATTCTTTGATTCTTCAAATCTTTGGTTGAATTCCTGGAGCATATGCTCAGCCCCATCTATCTCTTTGCCTTGCACTATCATTGACCTGAGGGTATAGAGAGGTTTATTGGATTGCTCAGCTTCAAACTCAATTTTCTTTGCTTCAAGTTCATACTGCTTGCTTATTTCAGCAAGCATATTGGAAATATGAGCAAGAGCTTTGAATCTGTCTCTGACAGATTCATCTATGCCACTGACAGTGTTGCTGATCCTCATCTCATAATTCTTGAGCTCTTTATCTGATTTCTTCATTTTTGTACTGTTTTTTAATATTCTATAATCTAAAATTATTAAGGGGTTTTGGGGTTTTGGGGTTTTGGGGTTTTGGGG